TAACTGAAGAAGTAATGCTTCATTAGAGCTTTTTTGGCTATTCAGAGAAGTCTTTTAGGAGCTGCATTCGCTAATCTTACAGAACAACCATATCACTGTCGTACTTATTCTTTATTACTGCACAACCAACCCATCTGCAATTCGCTTATTCGTTTCGATAGTGAACTGATACTGTGCATGCTAGACAGATAGAGATTGCCATCAGCTTAGTTCTAAGCAACCTCTGGAGGAGAAGGCCATCGACAAACTTGCCAACGGATGGATGCTGTTGACAGTTGCTTCCAGTTGGAATACTTGCAAATGTTTCAGCCTCACAAAAATAATTGATGCGGACGAAGGTTTTTGATAAAAACAGTATATATCAAGATTTCTGACTTTGATTTGTACGCTGATTTCGCTCCACTTTGGTAACACAATAAAAAATCTCATAGTGCAATGCATGGAATTTCAGGGGGAAGTCGACTACAATTGTTCCCAGCACACAAGGGCTGCGCGAGAAAAAAAAAACTTGAACTCTCTACAAAGTTTGCTCTTGCCAAAGAATACAATAATGGAGGAGATTTGACCTCCATGCCAATGAGGGAAAGAGTTGTAACCCATTCAGTACTCATTTCACCATCACCGGTTTCCCTCATCAAGCGAAACGACATGGAAGCAGCCAGGGGGCAATGATGCCAACAACATCCGAGCGATGAGTAAACGATACAATGATCTGAAATTCTTTACTGAGCCCTCATCCCATTCCGTCTAATCCCAATGATCAAGGGTCGGAAAGGGGATGGTATTTTTTGGTCACAAGGCTTCTTTTTTTAAATGATATCTGACTGTCCAAAAAAAATCCTACATATGTACATGTAGCGATGAGAGACTAAATTTATTCCCGTAACCGTGCGAGTCTGGAAACTAAAATTTCACTTCGATTAACTTCAATTCATAACCGTGGCTCTCCAATTATGTAGCTGACCACTTTTATTGTAGTTGCTTTGACCAGTGCTGGTGAGCCCGTTGGCGACCTTTGTGTCCATTTTCTCACCTGTGGGAAATAGGAATTCAAGAACTGGCACGACAGAAGCAATTTGGGAAGGCTTTAGCTGTTTTGAGGTCTTAATGTGTGTGCTTGTATTGAGCACCACCACCTTGCCTCAATCCTTGCCGCTCACAATTCCGAGGATTGTTTAACCAACATTCTTCTCCGGATGCGCTCGGACTTTCTACAAAGAGTGCAGTAATGGAGGAGATTTGAACTCTCTGCGGGTGAGGGAAGCAGTTGTAATCCATTCATTACTCATTTCACCAACACTGGTTTCCCTCATTAAGGGGGACAACGAGAGAGAAACCAGGAGCAGTTCTGGGGCCCCGGAGACAGGGAGAAATGCTTTTATATCCTAGAGGTCAGAGATTACTAAGATTGCAAGACTTCAACGGGGTAGGGTGACCAAAGTTTGAACCAAGGGCCGGGGTACAGCATCTTAGAGACACAACTGTTCTTTAAGCCATTTCCAACAAAGAACCATAAATCATTATTTGATATATTTTACACATACAAACAAACGTGGAAACACGAAAACAAAGAGTATACAGAGTGTAAAAAATAGCATACGAAATTTTGCTCAAAAAATTTGCAAATGCTCAAATCTGTGACCTAAAGCACCTCACTCAATAACTGTCCAATAAAAAACCTGTTACAAACAAGGCTTGATTTTCTGACTTAGTTATAATGTGCAAGATGTGATATAGATCCTTTGTAGTTTGTGATACAAATCGTTTGAAAATAGTACACAAGACATGCGAACATTCTACAAATACTTCCATATGCTAAACATATCCTGTACATTCTGTATCGCCCAACGCATCTTTGCTCTCTTTTGGTTAAATTTCACGTCCCCTAGGCATGGTTTTACACTTTTCCTCGACTAACCTCACCAATCAGCATCCAATTTGCATTTTTTTCAATCGTCAATCTTAGCTCTATGCCTGCACAGATAGAAAAATGCAGGTGGGTCAGGTAAAGGACTGCGCCTTCCTCAAAATTCTTCCGATGAGTCATGCAA